TTGGTAAGAAGATTCAGAGAAGCCCCAGACCTCTCAAAGCGCTCTTATTCTTAGTGGAGGGAGACGAAGTATACACATCGACACTTACGGATGTATAATACGTCAGATGGTAAGGGAGAGAGAGCAAGGAAAGAGGGTGGAGGGCACTGGGGGACATATACGTAGTCAATCTTTATAATTTGTTCATGTTTGCATCCTATGTTTATTTATTTTAACAGCTTAATACTGGGAGATGCATCCATTTTATCACATGGGCTACCAATAAAATAAAATGTCTGACACTTAGTGTTTCTACATTCCTCAGAGTATTAGAAAATAATTATTATGACTGGTGCCCTTCGTGAGTCTCTTAAGGACTTTGGCAGTTTCTTCGTAGGAAAAGAATATTTTAGAGATGAGTCGTAAATTGTACTTGGCTGTGAAGTAGTCATTGCAGGCAACTTTTGATACTACTTAGCATCACCTTTATTTAGCTTACACAGATTGGCCTCATTATTAGGGCTTTCACTTAGAACTGTATTTGAGCACTCATGTGCCTTTTTTTTAGCATCGCATATAAACTTCTCCACAAAGCCAATGTCCACTACCCAACCAGCACCCTGAAGGTTTTCCTCGAGCCTCTTATGAATTTATGGTAGGGGCACACCAGTGTGCAAGCTTTAGGGGATCCCTACCCAGTGATTGCAAAAGTTCATGTCTTGGGATTGGTTGCTCCTCCTTTGAGCAGGGCTGAGTGTTCGCCTACAAAGAGTGTCTCTTCATACCTTCCTCTTCCACTCCCAGCCTTCACTTTCTACTGCTACATTGTCATCAGGTGTCACATGGCTCTGATCCTAGCCTGGGAAACTCTCTGCCTCCTCTTATTGTACGCAAACCAACCCCTAGGGCTTAGGTCCAGAGGCCGAAAACACTGCTTCCCTCTTTTTATTGATGGCAAGTGGGGCTCAAGGAAATCAGGTGACTTCTTCCCAGACACAGAGGCATAAATACAGTCCGGATAATGTCTCTGGATTCCCTTTGCAATACAGCTTCTATTAAACAAGCAACTTTTTGGATCTAGTTTGTTAAACACGATGAGAAGTATGAGAGAGTGGTCTCCAAAGCCATCCACGTACCATTTGTAGAAACCCTGCTTGGTATGTGCTGATGATATGAAACTTTATGCTTTACTGTTTCTGATGTATTGAATAGAATGTTATCAACCTGAAATGAATCAGGAAGTGGACATAATTTTGCTTGGCTTTTCATTTATTTATTTATGTAGGTAGTAAAGATTGAACCCAGGGCCTCAATAAGCATGGACTCTACCCCTGAACTACACCCAAAGCCCTGCTTTCTTCTTTAAAGCTTAAATTTAATTTCTCTTTTTAACTAAGAATGTGCAGAAATAAATGGTAAAGTCACACACAGCAAAAAAAAAACAAAGGTTCAAATACACATGTTCAGCTGATTTGTGTATAAGAAAGGCACTGTTATGTTATTCTTTAATAGGAGTTTACCTAACTATATCAGGAAAAGACTTAGGCTGACAGCGGGTGGGAGGGATAAGCAGGGGATGATGGTGATAAGCATTTTCCAAATTAGGAAACAGATACGCTTTTCTTCTTACTCTCTTACATAACCGATCTATTTTAGAAGACAACATTAAAAAACTGAAGTGAAATACAAATCTCATGATTTTACTACTTTGCTAGCAAAGAATGACACAAGCAATGACACTTCAATGGTTCAAGGGAAACAAAAAGAGGAGAGCTCTTGAAGTCATCACGTTCCTCCGGGCACAGGGGCTGTCTTACAGGATCCCCCCCCTTTTTCATCACAGCCTGCTCACCATGAGTCAGAGACCAAAGTGTAAATTTTAGAAAATGAATGAAGATAATTCCTCTCTCCTTTGCATTGAAGAAGCAGTTGCCACCTTTTCGGTGGCACAGAACCACAGAACAGTGACCTGTTACAGAGCTGTGAGTGCTATGCCAAGACTTCCTGATCCAGAGGGAAACTGCAGCATACAAAGGCCACAGTGGCAGCACAGCCTCTTACATAAATAAGTTACATAAATGAGAACAAGTTATGTAAATGTATAAACCAGCAAACATGAATTATAACCATTCACAAATGCCAGGGGAACAGGGCAAGATTCCTCCTACAGACACTTCCACCCCAAATTATCATAATTGTACCATTTTATTTCACAGCAGAATCAGATGAGGCTATTTGTCATATTTATTAGGGAAAGAAACTCCAAAGGACAAATGATCCTTCATATGTTTTCTCCACCACACATTTTACTGTTAGGGGAAATTCCATAATAAAACCTGATTTCAACTACATTTGAAAAGAAATATATACATGCTCGTTGATTCATTGTACTTTCCATATAATCGTGCACATTTATGAAATACATACTGTGGTACATTTTGCAAGTTGCTAAGGTCACAAATAGATCACAAAAGTTAATGTGCAGTGATGTGGACATTAGTTATCCTAATTATGTCTCAAGTACATATGTGGGTATTTGGCTGACATCATTCTTCACACTGGTTGAGGGAATTTAGAAGATTAGGGTTAGATTGAAGGTTATGCTCATGAATTATTACCAAGGTCCCCATTCCAAACGATTAGGAGCTACTTCTTTACTACCATTGCAATTTGCTTTAGATGCATTGTGAATGATAAAGGAGTTGTATCACTCTACTGGGATAAAAGCTGGGACCTTTTCTAAGTCAACTTTTTTCTTAATTCCTTTGAGATAATATATCTACATCTTTACTGAAGTTATAAAATTTGTTCATAGTGTAGTGAAAAGGCATGTAACTCAAAACATTTTTGAGCCTTGCTTGTTCTGCATAAACAAAGATGTTAAATTACCAAATCTTAGAATATAAAGGTTAACAGTCCATACTCATGTAAAACATTTCAAAGAAATAGGACATATTTTATTTAAAATTATATATTGCTACTGACATTGCTACATAATAGTGGAAGGTTAAGAGACTTAAAATCTTTATAAAATATTGGCTGTGTGATTTTGGACAAGTAACTTTCCTTTGCTGTTTCCAACCATCTGAAAAAGAACCAAAAGTTTCTCAAGTCGCTTCCTACATTAACATTCTAGTATCCTACATCAAATCTATACTGTATTTTCGACGGAGAGCTTTACACTCCTGGCTGTCAGGATTAAAGGCGATATAACCCATTAACGTAATCCGGATCATTTTCTTTCCATTCTGTCGACAAAACTGCAGACCCTGTGTGGGTTGCAGTGATCTTGGTGACTGCTAGGGCGAAAAGCCTTTCTCCTGGTGTTTTCTCTTTTTAAAATGCCAGTGCTTTAGTTTACTCTGGGCAGTGCCTGCAAAGTACCCGAGGAACCTGAGGGGATAGGCAGCACTAACTTGGCACCAGGAAAAATCCTGCTCTGGAGGGAATCGCCCCAGGGAGTGGGGTTTTTGTGTCTAAACCCGACCTAGTCCAGAGTTGGATGACAAAGTCATACCACTGAGCACCCCCTGTCCCTCCGCCTCTCTGCGCTCAACAGTAAATCTGAGGGATTAGACCCCACCGACAGCCAAGCCAGGACCCTACACTCGGAGACGGGCGCAGGTCCCCACGGAAGTGGGCGGGTATAGCAAGAAGGGGTTGGCAGGCTAGGCCTCGTTCCAGCGGGGCGGACCCTAGGCAGAACAGCGCCCGCTGCAGAGGCTGGGGGCGCCCGGCAAGGTGAGCGGAGTCCCGCGGAGAGGCGACCCGAGACGGAGTTAGGAGAGCATTCGGGCTTTGTTCTGTAACCAGGCACGCCCTCCTTTCCCGAGAAACCAATTACGGCCCCGCTGGGCTATCATCTGACCTCGCGTCCTCGCAGGGAGGGGCCGGAGGGGCGGGGCT